ATCAACACGTTGGGTAGCTCCACTGTATTTCGATGCTTCGTTATTCTATCCAGAAACGATTGATCGTGCGAGTCCATCACAATCATCAGTCTCTTGTTGGCTGATCGTTGATCCGAGATGTCGTGAATTTCGACAAACGCATCCAGGAATGTGAACAATGCCCGTTCGGATACTATGAATGCTTGACAACCGTCGTCGACGGCGGTTTGGAGAGTTTCATTGAAGTTCGTATCCACTGTAATGACCACCGAGGGGACTGGCACGTTGAGTAGGATGTTATCGAGCGAGTTTTTGATGACACATACGGTGTAGAATTCGGAGAAATAGCTTATAGCGATAAAGTTCACCAAGGATATGAGTGAAGCGCTCAGAAGATTGCTGGAGCTGTCGATTCTCAGAAGATCCATTGTGGAATGAGTATCCATTGCATGCGAGCATGCATATTAATGATGTTTGCTTGTGACGCACATTTAATATAATTGACTGTGGACCATATGCATATGCAGGACTTGTTGTTGGGTATTGTGAATTATAGTTAATTTGGATCATTACGCGAAAATTGTAGGCAGAATTTTTATTTAAATTTAATCGTTGTGCATTTCTCGACGAGCAACAAGTGCTTTGTTAGCATTGTAGCGTAGAATATTTATTTCTGATAGGGGAAATGGATGTAATGGCGGCCTGAATGCACCTAATTTGGGCCCATACATAAATTTAGCAATCGACTAAATTTTCAATAGCAAACAAAAATATCAATTAGTACCGTCCTAATGACGCGTTCATCTAGATAAAATTGATAAATAGCAGCTTTTTAGCGATTAGCCAAATCTTAGATCCATAGGCCAACATGAGAACCATGTTCCCTATGACAATCTTGTGATTAATTGCGATTTCCAAAGGGAAAAAATTATATACATACGTATGTTTTAGTATTTTTATTTTGAAGTGTATTGGGCAACATGACATGTTAGACTAATTAGCCTCTGAATTAAAATACCAGCCCAGCAGCAGTGAGGCCGCTTCACGACAAATGTACTGGTTAGTGAGAAGCACGTTTTAGATCCCCGTTTAAGATAAAGGGAGAAACATTCGAACTTTACTATGTTAAGTTGTATGTTATATACAGTATACCTATGTGCTACTCCCCTCACTGCTAACATTGTTCAGCGAATTAATGGAGCTACCTATGCTGCTATTGCAGCGGGTAGAAATCAAAATACTGACCAACGTAATTCGAACGGAAATTTTGACAATTTTGACTTAAGAAGCATTACTGCCCCTAAAATGGAATTTTTACAGAAATCATTAATTGACATGATTTCTGATATGCTTAAATCTAACTCCATGTTTGATGCTATTCAAACTGGTGTAAAGTTTGCAAATAATATTGTCATGACTTTAAAATTCAGTAATGGATTCTAAAGCATTAAATATTTTAAATTGGAATGCTCGATCTCTTAAAGATAATGAAGACGAGCTATTTAACATTTGAGAGTTTATAACGTGCATATTGCCGTTATAACTGAAACGTTCCTTAAACCTGACCATAAGGTTAAGAAGGACGCAAATTATTTCATTTATAGAAATGATCGTCTTGATGGACCCTGTGGTGGCGTTGCCATCATTGTTCATAGACGAATCAAACATAAAATTCTTTCTTCATTTGAAACCAAAGTTTTCGAAACTTTGGAAGTTTCTATTGAAAAAAAAATTGGGCAACTTACGTTTATAGCTACCTATATGCCATTCCAATGCGTAGGCCAGCAAAAGAATTTTCTCTAGGGTAACCTGCAGAAACTTACCCGTCATAGGTCTAAATTCTTCATTATTGGTGATTTTAATGCAAAACAACGCTCATGGAATAATGCTCAAAGCAATTCCAATTGTAATATTCTGTTTGATGATTGTTCTGCAGGTTATTACACTATTCAATATCCAAACAGCCTAGCATGCTTTTTTCTGCAAGAAATCCCTCAACTATTGATTTGGTCTTAACTGATTCATGTCAACTTTGTAGCCAACTGGTTACCCATGCTGACTTCGGTTCTGATCACCTTCCAGTAACTTTTGAAATATCCCAAGAAATAATTTGTAATCCCAACAGCTGTACTTTCAATTACCATAGAGCTGATTGGGAGCAATATCGAACATTTATGGAATATAACTTCGATCCAAACATTCCTTTGCAAACCAAAGATGAAATTAATTATGCTCTTGAATCTCTGACTACTTCTATAGTTGCAGCAAGAGCTGCCTCAGTACCAAAATGCGAGGTTAAATTCGATTCAATTATAATAGACGACGATCTTCAGCTCTTGATCCGTCTTAAAAATGTCCGTAGGAGACAATATCAAAGAACACGCGATCCTGCCATGAAGGTTTGGCGGGATTTGCAAAAACAAATTAAAAAGCGATTCTCTGCCCTGAGGAACAAAACTTTTGAAAATAATATTTCTAAATTAGACCCGAGTTCCAAACCCCTTTGGAAACTCACAAAATTTTCGAAAAAACCTCAAAAGCCTATTCCAGCGCTTAAAGAAAGTGGTAAAATTTTGATCACAAATTTGGAAAAAGCTCAGAAACTTGCTAAGCAATTCGAGAGTTCCCATAATTTCAGTTTGGGTCTTACTAGTCCTATTGAGAATCAGGTTGCTCGGGATTATCTGAATATTTTCTCTCGGGAAAATATTTTTGATGATTCCTGGGGGACTGATTTGGACGAAGTAAGGTCTATAACTAAAAAGTTTCAAAATATGAAAGCTCCAGGTGATGATGGAATTTTCTATATCCTCATAAAAAAGCTCCCAGAGAGTACCTTATCTTTATAGGTAAGATTATTTAACAGATGTTTCCATTTGGCATACTTTCCTGATAAATGGAAAAATGCAAAAGTTGTTCCAATTTTAAAGCCGGATAAAAATCCAGCTGAAGTTTCTAGCTACCGTCCAATAAGTTTGCTTTCTTTAATAAGTAAACTTTTTGAAAAGATAATTTTAAATATAATGATACTTCACATCAATACGAACTCAATTTTTTGCAGATGAGCAGTTTGGATTTCGCCATGGGCATTCAACTACTCATCAACTCTTAAGAGTTACCAATTTAATTCGTTCAAACAAATCTGAAGGCCACTCAACTGGAGTTGCTCTTCTAGACATAGAAAAAGCATTCGACAGTGTTTGGCATGAAGGTTTGATTGCTAAATTGAAAAAGTTTAATTTTCCACTTTACATTATGAAATTAGTTCAAAATTATTTAACTGGCAGAACTTTGCAGGTAAATTAACAAAATTCCAAATCTAATCGACTACCTGTTAGAGCAGGAGTTCCTCAGGTTAGCATTCTTGGGCCTAAATTGTATAACATTTTCACTTCGGACCTCCCTGATTTGCCTCAGGGTTGCCACAAATCTTTGTTCGCTGATGACACAGGCATTTCCGCTAAAGGAAGAAGTCCTCGTGTTATTTGCAGCCGCACCGATCACAGTAGAACTGACAGTTCACTCTCAGATGAATTTCTGCTTTGTATATGTTTACATTCAGCACCATTAACACCAGATCACTCACACACTCTTGATTTCTAGCTGTCAATTCCACTGCGAAACGTCTCTTGGATCACCTTATAGTGATGATCAAAGCTTTCTTCGCCGTGTGCTAGAAAAGAGAAGACGATTAAACGTCAAAAAGGTCAGGTCCGTAATAAGTTAAACAAAATCTGTCAGGTGCACTGAACTAAAACATCCACAATACTTCGACTGATTATTGTTTTGCTCGAGCCCTTAAACAATATTCTGTCGAATTTCGGATGATTTCCTTATGGTTGAATTCGTCATCAGCTTATGAGCATCAGTATAACTCCAAATAAAGGATGATATTTATTTGAAAATTGGATGTAATGGGGCTCAAAGGACAACAATTTTAGGATAGGATGACTTGCAAATGCTTTAGATTAGATTATTAAATCGTTTGTTTACATTTCCATATTGAATAACCATGAACAACTATTCATCATGGATACAAAAATTACATGTTGGTAGAGGAAACTTTCTCCACCACGAAATAGACAATTTACGGTTTCCAAGCTTTACCAATGTTCGTAACACCTCTGCTACCGATGGCTATGCCACCACCTCGTTTGTCTACTCAGAGCAGCAAATGACGTTCGACAGAATTATTTACATCATCGTTTTGAATGATTTGCGTTAAGGGGCTGAACCAATACTAAATTCATTTCAATTTATGACGACTATCATTCTGCAGAGAGCAAGGCTCTATCCTTTTTCATAACAATGTTCATCCTGTATTCGAGAGGGAAATCATCTGATTTCAAAACAACCGTCGGCTGCAGCTATCATTCTAAAAGGCGACTTCGATTTGGATGGTCTGAGGTTTCATTCGAACAGAGGACGGTGGTTTGGTAGAGTGTGCTTGCACCCTTAAGAAACATACCATTATCATAACAAGATGCACAAACTCGAAAATAATTTTGTTTATTTTATGTTAAGTTTCAGGAACCATTTGGTAAAAAATCTGTACTAAATCTGTATTAATCAAATTGTAATTATTAAAATATCTGTATAATGTCGGTAGAGTGGAATGTGCAAGGTTTACCACTTATCCACTCCAGGATTCACCCCTTGTTTGTTGTGCACACCTCTTCCACGTAGCCCAATTCGTTTATACATAGTGGAATGAAACATATTAGCCTACGTAGGTACATTTATTTCAATATTATGCAAGCAAACTCCGTAAAATTTATTCTTCCCTAGATTCTTTTTCGAGAGATACTTTTCCACATCCTGATTGGAACCGAATTAGTCATAACTGACCGAGATATCTCCAACAAAAATGTCAACGATGCCATGCCCAGACCAGCCGCCAGAATCATGTACGCTCCAAGAAAGTGCGAAATCGAAAGCTTTACAACGTCATCTCCCGATCCAGCCGAGCGGCTGTTGAGAATGTTCAGTTGAATCGTTCCACGCAAGTACCGATTGGTGGCCTACCACGAGAATAGAAGCATTTTGAATTCCCTTATAATAATATACCTCGTAATTACCTGTAACTCCCAGTATTTCTGTATACCGGACTGCTTGACCTGCATGATCAGATCGTTGAACTTTTGCATGAACGGACACGTTTTTGTAACAAGTGCGCTTACGCTTTCCCAGAAGAGATCGTCCTTCAGCAGTTGCAGCATCGTGGATGCCTCACTATCAACGAAGTCCACTGGTACGAAATGTTGGAACTCAGAACGCTCACCGACAAATCCCATATCGTGCATTTTGGTGTGTTTTGCCAAGAATTCCTTGCTTACAGTGCGATATGTTTTGACCAACTTTTTCATGTGAGGCTACGAAGGAGGGTGTTTCGTATAGCTTAAATAAAAATCCTATTTGGGGTATAAGAAGGAGCTTACCTGTGGAGCCGTAAGAATTGAGTATATCCACGACTCAACATGGGATCCCCATGGCATTCCACTATCTGCTAAATCAACGATCGTATCGATAGATTTCTCGTACTCAGGAATGGTCATAACGCTAGCCAAGCCACCGCCATAGCAATTGCCGATCATAAAACCGGCAAACAGTAGTGAGGTGAACAGCAGAATGCATGACATTAGATCAGTGCGCATTTGAGCATTTTGCTCCAAGTAGAAGCCGATCATCGTCAACGCTGAGTCACTGAACGTGACCGGCAGTTCATCTGGTTGCAAAATACTGAAGCGAACCTTTTCGATCAACCATACGGCCAAAACTCCAACGCAGAATGCTACGAGTACTGCGGTCCACAGTGACAAGGTAAAGGAAAGGAACGGTGTTCGCCATGGTGGTAGAATACGAGGTTTTGGGACCAAGACTGTAACTCCGGATCGACTGATTGGTTGAGTGTACGTAGCAAACTTGTACGGTTCTAGCCTTTTGATAAATGAATGTGCTTTTAGAGGGATTCAGTAGTGAGAATTCAGTGAAACTTACCAGTAGTAGAGAGCAGCCACAGCAATGTCAGCCCGGCGTTCGACGACTGCACCATACAGTCCCACTCCCGTATGGTTATCGTATGCATTACCCCACAGGAAGATCTCGTCTACCAAGAACGAGGGCATAACATTATTTTATGAGCATGCTCAGTAGTATTGGGGCACTTACCAAAAGAAGCCTCCACATTGCAGTTATATTTGCGGCAGAATTCAAGGACCAAGGTAGCCTCCGTTCCATCCAGAAAAAGAGGCATATCCTCGTTGAACGATGCCTCGTATTGAGCGTTGGCTTTCTCTGGTACCTTGATATGAAAATAGCCCATTATTCAACTATTCAGCATAACCGTCTGAATCTCGAAATCAACTTACCGTTTCTTCGTAGTATGAATACGGTGGATACATGAGTGTGCAGAGATGAATAGGAATACCGTGCATGTCGCTGAACTTATCCGGAAAGTAATTGGAATCATAGACTGGTTCGATCTCCACAGTTTTGGTGCTTCTCGTTCCATTGTTGGACAGTTTCGTGGTATAGAGAGCGATGGAATCGTTCGCACGGCGCGGAATCACAATTAACACGTTGGGTAGCTCCACCGTATTCCGATGCTTCGTTATTCTATCCAGAAACGATTCATCGTGCGAGTCCATCAGAATCATCAGTCTCTTGTTGGCTGATCGTTGATCCGAGATGTCGTGAATTTCGACAAACGCATCCAGGAATGTGAACAATGCCCGTTCGGATACTATGAATGCTTGACAACCGTCGTCGACGGCGGTTTGGAAAGTTTCGTTGAAGTTGGGATTCACTGTAATGACCACCGATGGGACTGGCACGTTGAGTAGGATGTTATCAAGCGAGTTTTTGATGACACATACGGTGTAGAATTCGGAGAAATAGTTAATGGCGATAAAGTTCACCAAAGATATGAGTGAACTGCTCTGAAGATGACTGGAACTGGTGATTGATAGAAGATCCATTGTGGAATGACTAATACTTGATAAGGAGCCTTTTTATTCATATTGTCTTTTTGTAACGCATAATTCAACATTATTCAATATGCAGCGTAATGGCTCCGAATAACAAGCGCTTGCCTTGTGATTGAATTCTGTGAAAAACAGTTAATTTTAACCATTAGAAGGAAATTGTTGACAGACGTTCTTACAATTTTCCTGTTGCATACTTCTAAGGAAAAGCGGTGAAACCTCGTTAAATGAGTAAAATTATACCAAATTAATGAGTAACAGTTACTGATTAGTGGATAACAGTTACTCATTAAATGAATATAGACGGATTTCATAAATTGGGATAAATTTTTATTATTAATGGATACTTCCAAGCTAGTATGTTCGGTAGTGCTTGGTGTATGCCTGCTAATCAATTTAATCAACTCAACTCTATGAACTGTGACGTCACATGCTCTTCCATGAAGAAGACTTCGGGATTCCAGCTGAGTGGCACTATTTTGCAATAGCAGACGGTAAAGGTCCAAGCGACGGATTAGGTGGTACACACTTAATCACGGTTTCCCTGTTCGGTAATTTTTTTACAGTTTTAGAACTGTAAATCACAAAAAAAACCGAACATTCAGCTATTCTCAATGAAACTACTGATGTTCAGTAGCTTTTGCAACAAACTTCTGAATACGGTAATATGAATTTTCCGTAAAATAACAGATTTACGGTGAATGTTTTACTGAATAGTCTGAATAGAAGAATGAGTCATCAAACGAAATTCAAAATTGCAAATCTCACCAGTAAGGCAACTTGCTTGCATCATTCTGCTCCGTTTCACTTCGTGCACTTGACCTCGGAATTCGCTGTGTAATAGTAGAAAACCTTTGTGAAAATAAGTCAAACATCCGGAATCGGGCAGTTTATGCACTCCTGCATCGACTTTCAGATGTATCAATGATTTTGAAGGAAAAACATTCAGTAACATAGACTTTTAGCTCCAGGCATGGACATGCAAATTGGCACACCAAAAGAGCCACAAATCAACCGGCTGAACCACCAGGAAGCGCTAAACTTGAAACTCAATTCCCTAATAAACATCATAAAAAATTAAATCATTTTAATCCTACCCTTCGTATGCAATTTTTTTTTTGATGAATCAAAAAGCTAAAATAAAAATACTGAAAAACTCAGAAAAAATTTAAACAAATACATTACTGTAAAAGTCAGCAATTCTTTTACTGAGTTAAACGGTAATTTTTAACAGTTCAGAGATTCTGCAATTTACGAAGTTTTCAGTAAAAATAAAATGCACTGGGTTGATAACTGAAAACTCAGCTGTTTAAAAACCCAGTACAATTTTACTGACTTCGGTAATCTATACTCTGTGTGTACAAACGCCAAATGAGTTGTACGAATGGGCACTTTCAAATTGTAACCTGGATGTACAATTTGTTACATGCAGTGAATAAAAGAAGGATTTAGAAACCAGATTCGGGTTGGTACGATCCATTCCTGGAATTCGCGGGATGCATTCTGTAACTCTACTGTCTGTCTGTATCCCGGTAAAAACGTTCAGTAGCAAGAAACCTCTCGAGCTGTGTCTCAAGGTCGGCTTACTACTGGGTAATCTGGAGGGGCTTCGCGATCCTAATGTGCAGTACTGTCACCTGACTAAAAGCTATGGAAAGTTTAAGTGACACAGTAATCAAAGGGTGTATACTAATTATTTATTAATAAAAGCTATATCAGGTGTGGATTGGATTTCTGATAGTAGTTCTATTGAATTTTATGGGTGTACAGTGGGTTTTTACTATGGGGGTTTGACGTACCGGTACTGAAATGCTGCCGTTGATTCTGCTCCGCCGAAGACTACTCTGCCGATGTACGAGAGCTCGCCGATGATCCTACGTACGACGAGCTTGACGTCGGGTGATGTTGGAACAACAGATCGACTTAACTTCATGGCGATCTGCGGTCTCCTGGCGTCTACCCTCGTTGACGAGAATCACCAGAGTCCAGGCAAGGCCAGAGTGACTCTGCTGAGAGGGGTCCTCTTTTGCGTTTAGAGCCGCCTTGGCCCGAGGAATGCGGCGATTTTGACCTTGCAAAGCCAAATCGAAATGATGTCGTTTACTGTTAGGATTAATAGCCACTAAGGACCAATAATCCGACTCGTGTGCTTCCTGACCGACTTAGTCGGTTGGTTCACAAAATGGCGCTGTACCGAATGGTACCACAAAAAGGTCCTGATTGAACAGATAGGTATTCCCGCGATTCACCACTCACTTTTATTACTTTAAGGACACTTGGTTTTAACGATCCGAAGCACACGAACGCCAGATACTGATTGAGGAATGGCGGTTTTCCTTCGCGCTTTTCCCATCCCATTGCTCTTCTCGTGAGACGTTATTTTCCACCCATTTTGAATTCATAGTTTCGCCCGAATGTTGTTGTACCCACTGGTAGAATACTCATACCCACTGTACTGTTGTACGGTTTTATACAATTTTCAAATTTAAAAACAATTAATCCTACTAACAAATTAACATTTTTTTACAACGACTACTAACCCTACTAATCCAACACCAAATAACTTTAAGAGACGTGACGGTACATTTAACAACCATGCACAAATTAAAAATCTTACATGTTTTGTAACAAACGGTTACAATTCAGCAACTCCTACAACCGACGGAACGGTTTTTATGAAAATGGTAGCATGTTCAGTAACGGGTTCAAATTACAAAGTAATTTCAAAGCCCACACACTAAGATTTTGTTTCCGTATTCGGTAAATTTTAACGAAATCAGAACAGCTGAACGTTTGGTAAAACTTTGACCTTCATTTTAAAGGCTATTGAATTTGAAAATAATAATTCTAGTTTTGATGTTCGGTAATTTTTTCACGGTTGTAAGATTTGATTTCTACTGAGTGATCTGTAAAATTGCCTTAATTTTCTTGTCCATCAAATAACTACAAGTTTTCGGTAATTTCTATGTAATTTACATCTATTTTACCGATGTAGTTTGTAAGCCATGAAATTTCATTTAATATAAACTGTAAAAAATACAGGAGTTCAGTAATTATTACTGAACGCTTGAGTAAAAATGACGCCTGTCAAATCTTCGTCAATTTCGCATGTTAAGCGGTGTCAAATTCAAGTATAAATAAATTTTAAGAAAATCGGGCGCATTAGATAAAAAAAAAACTTGTAAACCATTGAAATGAAAGACGTGTTACACACTTAGGTTTTTTCGCCGAGATGGGCACCACTGAGCAGGTCGGCATTTTATTTTGCTGGATCTCAGGGATAAACTTGCCGAGATTCAGCTAACAAACGGGAATTTTGCCGAGATCTCAGCTATCAAACATATTTTTTGCAGAATTTCCAGCAAAATAAAATGCAGAGCTGCTCGGTGGTGCCCATCTCGGCAAAAAAATCTAAGTGTGTAGATGAGATTAGATGTGCTAGCGGCCGGATTTGGCAGTAAGGGATCGTTTCAGTAAGTACTTTTTATGTTATCTAAATGTTTTCATTTTTTAGCACTCAAATAAAATGGCTGGAGATCGTTGACTCGTTGGATAAACAGATTGATGCATAATAAAAATCAAACGAATTGGTTTTAATAAAAGATATAAACATAAATTTATATTGTGCATGATTTTTGAACGGACCAGTTCCCTATATTTCACTGTTTTTCAGTAAAAATTTTCAAAAAAACTGTAATTTTTGGCCGCTGACGACGTTTTTTTGAAAATTTTACCGAACCTCGGTATTGAGTGATGAGCTAGTCGGTATTTTTTGACAGTTGAGTATACATTGCAAGTTTATTAATCGTTCAGTAAACCAAACTGTTACCGAACTGATGACCGAATGTTCTGCTGTTTGAAATTCAGTAAAATGCTTACCGACAACAGTAAAAACAACTTGGTGTGATGATGATGATGATGATGATAGTGGTTTACCACCCATTGTAGTACGGAAACTAAGTCCGACAGCAGTGGGCTCTCTTCTCTGGTTGTCTTGATCAAGCTTAATAACCTCTGATTGTCCTCAACATGTCGCTGTATGAAGGGTCAAAAACGGATTGGGTAGTTCGATAGACAAAGTCGTCAATACGCATCTACGGAACAATAAAGAATCTCCTTCCAGCAACTAGATCAGCCAATTGGTCAAAAAGATAAGCCCCCAAACAGGAAGATGCCCCAATAAGTGGGGAGAAGAGCCCGCCCTTTATCCACGACATGTTATCAACAGGAAGATGGCATTCCCACTCTCCCCGTCCAAATTGCTTCAATCGGATGCCCTGTTGGTCCAACCCCTTCCCTTTTATATATGTATTGTAACCGTTCTGTTACAAAGGTTCAATACAATATTTTAAATATGCACCATGTGATCGAGCATTCAAATAAATTTGTGTAACACTTGCGGTGAAACCCACTGGGCAGACAATACGGCCATGCTTAACGGCCGACTGCTGAATAAAGCGCGCATGGCCGCGGCAAAATGGTGACACGGAGTCACGGGTGATGAGCTGAAGGGTTCTACGATGCTTAGAGAACGGCCATCGTGCACTTTATCTCAGGCGAGCGTGTAGACCAGAAGTGTCTGTGGAATACATTTCAACAGAATACAGTGCGAGTAGTGAATCAAGGTGAAGTGAAAATCACCAATTCAGCTGATTCAGGACCTTTCTTTTCAACCAATCAATTGGTTTTCTGGTTGGCGAGTCAAGGACCGCCATTGCACGCTACGGTCTAGGTGACATTTAGTTACCTTGACCTAACCGTAAAGGACATCGTTCTCGGGCTGAAGGCCCTAAACACCAAGGAGAATTTCCCTTCCCGGTTCGATAGAGGGCGGCCTTGCCGTCGTCGACCGGCTGCGTCAGAAGGAAGCGCCTGTGCATCGGAACCATCTCCACAAACCGCTATACCAGCCCGGTAAAACCAACCCGCCATCGCACTACGGCCGACGTTCGGTCAGCCTCGCTTCGTCCGCCATTGTCGGAATTGTACCGGAATTTCACCGAGCGGTGGTAC